CCTCCATTAACAAGTGTTAAGGCTTTACCATTTCAATCACTCTCTCTCACTAGCTTAAAATTATTACTTCCAGTAAGACATAAAGTATATTTTATTTCACTCTATTGATTGAAATTACAATTTTAAATGGAGAAAACCTACTCCTGTGGCTTTGCTGGAAATGCTTCTTGAAACCACATGGTCTTAAAGGAGATTTGGAGGAAGTGACTGGTTATGGATCTGCTTCCAAGCTAGTCCAAAATGTTTCCAATTATATATCATGAAAGTACACTCAAGTGAAAAATCCATGCCAAATTAGGAAATATGGTTTGATTTTAAAAACCACACCATTATAAATGTCCTCTTTGTGGAATCTGATTACTAAACTACTGTATTTTTATTCTAAAGTGGAAAATTTTTATCAAGGTAATCATTCCAATTGCTGCTAGTTCTGGAGGAAAATATGTAAAATGAGGGAGCAGTTACCAACAAGCAAGAATCAACACATTTAAAGGTTTTCCAATGAGTAACTTAAGCTACTGTTGAGTATTTAATTTTATAGTCAGTGGTTTAAAAACTGACGTTATAGCACATATTTCTTGTTTTCCAGTTTATTTTGTCAAATCCATTAAAAATACAAATTCATATAGACTATAGTAAACATAGTTTTTTTTTGCCATTGATAATTAACAGTGATAACATCTGAATAGATTTTTATGTTGAACCACTAAAATTCTATAGTCAGTGAGCCAATCAGAACCATCACTCATCATATTATCATAGACTCAATAGTGGTAAAGCTATTTTGTACAGTTGTGATCCTTAGTTAGAGAGAAGTTTCTGCACAGCAAAAAGATTTCTTCTCTTTGTATGAACAATAGATTGTTTCCCTTCACAATGTAACTTATTACAAAAAGCAAATTTCAAAAACAGAGAAAATGATTTATTTATGATGTTAAACATTTTGACCATCCCCAAAGTCTTGATATTAACTATAACTAACTTTTCCAGAATTCCTCTAGTTTCTCTGTATTTCTAATGCTGCATGTTTGCAAAAATTTAGTCTTTCCAATTTCCGAGGAAGATTCCATTTCTGTAATGAAAAATGTATAGTTACTCACATGGACATAAAGAGGGGAATAAGAGACACTGGGGCCTGCTTGCAGTCAAAGGGTGGGAGGAAGGAGAGGATCAGACAAAAAGAACTGTTGGGAACTAGGCTTTGTGCCTGGGTGACTAAATAATCTGTACAACAGACCCCCATGACATGAGTTTACCTATGTAAGAAATCTGGACATGTACCTCTGGACCTAAAATAAAAGGTAAAAAAAAAGAAAAATGTATGATTACTATATATTTCCAAATGAACAATTGACTAATTTGACATCCTCAATTTTTCTGATTCTTCTCGTGGTTGATTGTAAATTTTCTCTTTTGGTGTAAGGCAAAAAGAATTATGTAATTCACTTGTTTTTCAGTGTGCCAGCAATGTAAATGGAGGGAGATACGGAACCACCAAGGACTATCCCGATGATGCCATCCGATTTGCAAGAAGTCATCCACTAATGTACCAGGCCATAAAACCTGCCCATAAAAAACCAATATTGGTAAAAACAGATGGAAAATATAACCTGAAACAAATAGCAGTGGATCGAGTGGAAGCTGAGGATGGCCAATATGATGTCTTATTTATTGGGACAGGTAAAGAGATGAGAAAGTACTCAGAGACGTTTAAATTGACCTTTAAATTCAATAATTTTAATAGTATTTCTAAAAGCACCTATCAACAAATCTGTCCATCCATTAACCCATTTCACACTCCTAATCCAAAATGAGACAGATTGAAATAGAGACCTCATGTGACTGCAATAGTAAGAGGTTAGGCCAATTGTCTGAGAATATTACCACTTTCATTGTCAGAAGGGTCATGGTTTGACCAACAAAAATGTGGTTTTTTTCAGATGTGAGAAATATTGAAGCTGCCAAAGAGAGGATTTGGGGCTTGCATAGTACATAATTCCTTATACATAATCAATACTTCATGCATATGAATAAATGAATAAGTAAAGAGATGAATAACAGATGTTAATGAACAAAGTTGGTTCCAAATAGAAGTCCTCATACTAGAAGCAGAGTGTCATAGCAAGAATAGTTCTGTCAGGTTCCTGGCTCCATTACTGACTTTGATCAGTGAGTCCTGGAGATTTTGTGAACAACTTGGAACTTGGGACAATAACTTCACCTAAATCTCTAAACACAGCAATTCTTATGAGTCCATGTCAAGATCAACCATTTGTACCAAGCAAGCCAAATGTTACTCGTAATATCCTGCATTAATAAA